GATGGAGCTGTAAATGTATCATAACTTTCAGTTTTAGTATCAGATAATATTGCTGCTGAAACATCGCATTGTTGTTCCTGTATACACATTGCTATAAGAAGCGGGGGTATATTATTATTACTGTTTTTTCATTGTTCTGGTGTATTTTGCTATTTTGCTGGGAAAGCTATGGTTTTCCCAGTAGTGACGTATGGAAGTGAGAGCTGGACCATAAAGAAGACTGACCACCGAAGAATTGATGCTTTTGAATTATGGTGCTGGAGGAGACTCTTGAGAGTCCCATGGACTGCAAGAAGATCAAAACCTATCCATTCTTAAGGAAATCAGCCCTGAGTGCTCACTGGAAGGACAGATCCTGAAGCTGAGGCTCCAAGACTTTGGCCACCTCATGAGAAGAGAAAAGTCCCTGGAAAAGACCCTGATGTTGGGCAAGATGGAGGGCACAAGGAGAAGGGGACAACAGAGGACGAGATGGTTGGACAGTGTTCTCGAAGCTACGAACATGAGTTTGACCAAACTGCGGGAGGCAGAGGAAGACAGGAGTGCCTGGCGTGCTCTGGTCCATGGGGTCACGAAGAGTCGGACACGACTAAACAACTAAACAACAACAAATTTTGCTATTATTATTACTGGTTTTTAAATTTTTTCTGGTGTATTTTGCTATATATTCACAATAATTAAATAAATAAATAGACCACAAACCTGTCATGAGTCAACAGTGTGATGCAGCAGCAGCAAAAAGAAAAAAAGGGGGGGAGGACAGGCGTACCTTGGTTGTCGAATGCCTTGGCACTCATCCGTTTGGCTCCCGAACACTGCAAACCCGGAAGTGTGTGTTCCGGCTTTCGAATGTTCTTTGGAAGCCGAACGTCTGACGTGGCTTCTGCGGCTTCTGATTGAGTGCAGGATGCTCTTGCAGCCAATCAGAAGTCACGCCTTGGTTGTCGAACATTTTCAGAAGTTGAATGGACTCCCGGAACAGATTCCGTTCAACAACCAAGGTACGACTGTAATGCAATGCTATGTTGCGTCAACAGAAGTCTAGTGTCCCGATCATTGGAAGTCATAGTATTGCTCTATTCTGCCTTGGACAGATCCCACCTGGAGTCTTGTGTCCAGTTCTGGGTGCCACAATTTAAGAAGGATGTTGACAAGTTGAAATGTGTGCAGGGGAGGGTGACCAAGATCAACGGTCTCAAAACCAGTGCTATTTTACCAGAAAAAGAGGTGCCGCAACTCACCCTGAACGCCTCTATTGTTCTCTTATAATGGCAATGGTGCCCACCTGAGAGGTGCAGGAACTAAGTTCTGGTGAGTTCCGGGGGGGAGCTCTGTTCACAATCAAGACTTATGATGAAAGCTTGAAGGATTTGGGGATGTTTAGCCTGGAGAAGAAAAGACTAAGAGGTGATGGGATAGCCGTCTTCAAATATATGAAGGATTGTCACTTGGCAAATGAAGCAATCTGCTTTTCTGCTGCTCTGATGGGTGGGACCCGAACCAATGGATTCAACTTTTTAAAAAATGGGATTCCAACAAAACACTAGGAAGAACTTTCTAACAGTAAGAACTGTCCAACAGTGGAATAGACTACCTGGGAAGGTGGTGGTGGGCTTTCCTTCTTTGAAGGTTTTTAAGCAGAGGTTGGCCATCTGTCCTGGATGCTTTAGCTGAGATTCCTGCTTTGCAGGGGGTTGGAGGTCCCTTCCAACTCTACAATTCTATGATTCTATGAAGATAATTACAGCTGAGTCCAAGAGCAGCCATGGCCCTCCTTTGCAGACCACCCCACTACAGACTCTCCAATGAGCTTTCAAAGTATTTATCAGACACAGGAGAGCCCCAGGGAAGAAGGCTTCCATCAGGAAACTAGCCACAGATCTTGGAAGCAAACGAAGTTCCAAAACTGGTCATTGTACATTCATGATGGTATCAGTAGAGATGTAAAAATTCCAGAAATTTTGATGCCATGAGAAAAAAATGTTCCCCCCCCCTGTTTTTTTCCAGAAAAATAGAAATTTTGGGAAAATTGAAAAAATGTTCAGTGTGGAGTAGTTTTACAAATTGCATGAAATGCAATGTATGTAAAAGTATTATGCTTGCAATGAAACAGGTAACCACCCCGCTTTCCCTCAAAAGCAACAAAAAAGCAAGAAACCATCAACATAAAAAATAATCAGATTTGCCCCTTAGCACCAACAGCAAATGAAGTTAAGGTCCACCTCAATATTTAAGCTCCATAGAAGGTCTACCCTTTGAGTAGTGCTTAAAAAAGAAAAGAAACAGAAGACACAACATATACATGCAGTTTCTTCTATCTCATTTTCTGAACTACTGCTATCATTTCCATTTCTTCTTCCTCTTTGTCATTTTTCTCATGGACTTCTAAAAACAGCTTTCATTTTTTTGCATGCCAGGCCCAGAAGTGTTGCACTAAGGGTAAAGCTGTGTTAGAAAGGAAATGGAGTGTGGGGTGTTAAATTGAATTTGTTATTATATATTATAAACTGCATGATAGTAAGACAGCTTCTAAACAGTTAACAAAAATATACAACAGAACATTAAAATGATTGATAAAACACAGTTAAAAGCAGGTATTTAAGAGTATTCAAAAGATGATTAAAGTCAGCAGTGGTTAAAAGAAAGTAAATCACATGCAGCTTCTATGTGTTCAGATGGGCTGTTTACAACAGCCCTAACGAAAATGTTTTGAGCAGTTGCCGGAAAGAGTACAGTGAGAGCACCTGCCTCCTGGTGTCCGTGGGGGGGAATTGAAAAATTAGGGGGACAGGTCCAGGCTTTTTTCTGTTTTTCCCCAAAGCCGTTTTTTTCAAGAAAAATTGAAAAAAAATGTGTGGAATATTCAAACTATATCAAACTATTTTTTAAAAAAAATTCCGGGGGAAAAGAGTTTTGGGGAAAAACAGAAAAAAACCTGGGGTTTTTTTCCCGATTTTTCCGGGGGGTTTTCCAGGCCTTCCCATCTCTAGGTATCAGGGTGGTTATAGGTTATCCCACTTTCAGGACAGTTTGCCCCTGCAAAAGTTTCAGGGAGCACAACTGGTGCAGGCCCCATAACTTCCTGCTGAAATCCTATAACATTTCATACCAGAAATGTGAGAGCTATTGTGTGGAGCAGTGGGCTGGGGCGTCTTTTCATTCAGCATCTGTTGCACAAGAGTTGCTCCTTCAGATAGTAATAGCACAATAACACTGCAGAACAACTAATAAAGCAGAATGATATTTGGACAGTCTGGTGCAACTCCACCACGAACGCGCTCTTATTGTGTCAGTGAAATGCTGCAAAATAGAACCCACACACCAGTCTGGAGGGAGAGCCCAGACACTGCAATTGTCCAATCTATCGGCAGGAGGCGGGGAGTGGGGTGGAGGGGGTCTTTGCTTCTACCACCAAGGCACTTTCCTGCCCTCTCCAATTATTTCAGAGTCACTTTTGCAAAACATTTTCCATCTCCCACAGTTTGAACACAACACCACTCCCCGCCCCCGTGTTGTCTCATCAATTCACAGCACTGATCACTTGCACAGTACTAATATCTTCAAATGTTTTATCTTTTTTTTTATTACAGTGGACACTCGGGTTGCAAACGTGATCTGTGCGGGAAGCACTTTCACAACCCGCAGCATCCACAACCCGCAGCACCGTGTCTGCGCACGCACGGGTCGCAATTCGGCACTTCTGCGCATGCGCAAAGCGCAATTTAGTGCTTCTGCACAAGTGCTGAAACCCAGAAATAACCTCTTCCGGTACTTCCAGGTTCGGCGCGGTGCGCAACCTGAAGCCTCTGCAACCCGAGGTATGACTGTATTATTATCATTAGCATTATCATTAGCATTAGCATTAGCATTTATATCCCAGCTTTCCCCCCCAAGGAGCTCAAAGTGCTGTACATGGTTTTCTCCCCTTCCTCATTCAATTCCCACGACAACCCTGTGAGGTGGGTTAGGCTGAGAGAGGCAGTGAATGGACCAAGGTCACACCCAGTGAGCTTCATGGCAGCCAGGTGGGGATTTGAACCCTGGTCTCTCCCAGGTCTTAGTCTGACACTCTTAATGACTACACCACACTGGTTCTTTCTTGTAGCCAGCCTCAGATTTCTCCATCCACACCCTGCTGGCCATTCAAATACAAATCACAAGACCTCAGCCCAGATCAAGCCACAGCACCCATCCCGTCAGATTCCCATTGCTTGGAGCCACCCTCAAGCCTCCCATCACCAGGAGAAATCCATCTCTATATAATTTATTAAATTATAGGTAGTCACTGGAAGAGGACAGAAGAGCCCAAACCCAGGAAAAACCCCAGGAGCAATCTATTCCACCTCCCTGCCCAGAGGTGAGGGCCTAAGGCACGCCCCCTATCGGTGACCCCGGGGGAGTTCCTAGTTGATGTGCATCAGCAGGACTCCCCCTACTGGTGGTTAACCCTTCCCGGACTTCAAGCGGATGGGCTGAAGCCGGATATAGTCGGTTAGGACCAATGCCTAAGCCAATACCGTTCATCACCTGTAACCAATAAAGTTGTGGCCTTATTTAGCCCATTAACCTTAATAATTGTGTCATGTGTCTTTATTTCCACTGGGGGGGGCAGGAACTCGCCACGCAAGCAGGACATTTGCGGGGGGGGTGTGTTAGCAGTTCTCTCCCACTGTTGAGCCCCAGGCAACTAGTATTCACTCTGGAGGTGCCATCATGACTAGTAGCCACTGTTCACCTTACACCCCACGCATTTGCCTAACCCTCCTTTTACTGTTATATCACATTTATATTCTACCTTGGCCTCCCCTCTATTTTATCCTCAAAACTACCGGTATGCTGTGAGGTACACACTGGTGTTAAGTTCGTCATCATTTCAGGACAGACTGCTAAGAGAATTTTGCTCCCAATCTACTGTTAACTTTTTCCTAGTCTGACACTCTAACCATTGAGCTCTGCACGTGCTCAAAGCAGGCCTCGCTTCAGCCAGCTCCAGCCACAGTTCAACCTTCCTCCTCACCACCCCCCCCCGCCGCCGGGAACAAACAAAGCAACCGCTGGAAACATGTCCAAGTCGGGGAGATGTAGGTCGTGGGAAGCCAGTTCCTCTCAGGGTTCATCCCCCACCCCGCAAAGCAACACCCCCCCCTCACCTCCAGCTCTTTGAAGAAGATGCAGCTGCGTGCCCACTCCACGATGGCGAAGAGGGTCTGATCTGCCATCTTACACATGAGGCCAAAGGCGCTGAGCTTGTTGTGGAGGCCCTTGCTCTGCTCCTCCTGCAGGCAGGACAGGATGCAGGCCTTGACTTGCGCCTCGTCGGGCTCCTGCTCCAGCAACTTCAGGATCACGTCGGGCATGTCGGCCCCAGTGGCTGGGGAGCCGCCGCTGGGGTAGACCTCTGGGTAGGGGTACGGCGGGGCTGCCTCGTTTGGATGCATCACGTATGGGTCCGGGAACTCGGACTTGATGGCCCAGCTGGCGAAGGGCGGGTAGTGGTAACCCGAGAGCGGCCTGTGACCCGAGGGCACCGGCATGGCCAGTGCGGGCGTCCCATAGGAGCTGCACTCATAGTCGATGGGCGTCATGGCGGTGGAGCTGCTTATCCCGCTGCCACCGCCACCGCTGCCACTGCTGGAGCTGCTGCTGCTGGGCGGGGGTAGCCCCTTTGCCACCTCAGGCTGGTGGTGTTGGCTCAGGCCGTGCAGCAAGGCCGACAGCCCGCCGGACTCCTCCGCCGCCTGCACCGGGGACACGATGGGCGGCTGGGCCGCCGTCTCCAGTTTGAAGCTGTTGGCGTGGATCAGCGCCTTCTTCTGCTGTTTCATGGCTCGGTCCTGCTTGTACATGGGCCTGAACCTGTTCCAGCCACCCCGCATGCGGTTGGCACGCACGGCTGGAGGGAGGAGGGAGGGAGGAGAAGAAGGGGCAAAGGGAGAGAAAGCGGGGAAAAGGCGTCAGACAAAATCTGGCCAGGAAGGCCCAGTGTTATGTATTGAAGTTCTCACCCTGGCCAACAGGGGTATTGTGTATATAGTTTTCACTCAGGTCCACGTAAGTTAATTTAGGCGGGAAACCCTGGGCTGTTGTGGTTACAATGTTGACAGCCGGCTGCCTATAAAAGCAGGCCGGCTGAGCTGTTTGCTGTTCAGTTCAGTTCCAGCTTACTTATAAAGAACTACTTGGAGAAATCTCTGTGTCGTCTGCTATGTCCACCCACTATTTAATACTGGCGACGGAGATGGGATCAGATGGACATCAGAGCACAGCCACATTTGGACACTCACTGAGCAAAATCACTGAACAGAACCCAATTCAGAGCTGACCATACTGGCTAGAGCACTGTGTTCCATCCATCGCCCACCACGTCGGCATCGGAACCATGGCTTCACTCGTGCCTCTACTGCCATTTGCCCCAGCCTCTGAATCATGGGACTCCTATCTTGCTCGGTTCGGCTGCTGCCTCCAAGCAAACGAGCTGACAGAAGGGTCAGAGGAGCGTAAGTGGGGCCTATTCCTCAGCCTCTGCGAGCCCGAGGTGTTTGAGACGGCCCGAGTTTTGGTCGTGCCACTAGCAGTCCAGGCAGCGCCATGGGACATGATAAAAGAGAAGCTAAAAAACCACTACGCCCCGAAGCCATCCAAAATTGCTGTCATAGTGGCATAGTGATTAGTTTACTAGGACCTGGGAGAGACCTGGGTTCAAATCCTCCCACTCGGCCTCGAAGCTCCCTGGGTGTGCCATTAGAGGCCAGCCCATAGAAACCAACTCCTAGGGGTCGAGGTCCCTTTGCCCACCCCATAACAAAATTTTCGAGGGGGACAGTTCCCCCCCCCCGGTTGATGGGCATTGCTACTCAAGTGATGTGATGTGTGTGCAGGAAGGGGCTTACCTGCCCTCCCACAATATTTCATACAAGTTAGCCCCCTGGACCAGTCACTGCTTGTCACCCTAGCCTACCTCACAGGGTTGTCGTTGGGATTAGATTGCACCACTCTGGATGCTACGTGGATGTCACATTGAGCTTCTCCAAGGAAAAGAGGAGATATAAATGCAAGTAATGAATGAAAACATAGCATCCAACCAGGGAGTTGTGTTGGAATGTGTGCCCTCCTTCTCTTTCGTTCCCTTTTCATGCACCCATTTGCTCCACGCAGAATAATAGAAGAACATAAGAACGTGGGGCAGTTGCCTTTTGCCAAGTCAGAGACTCCTGGTCTATAGAGCTCGGAATTGTCTACACTGACTGGCAGCATCTCCTCACGAGTCTTCTCCCAGCCCTGCTTCCTGGAGATGTCCCTGGGGACTAAGCCTGGGACCTTCTGAACTATAGCCCTTCTCCGCCCCTCACGGCGACCCCTGGTGGATAAAGCCACGTGAAGGCCAGTCGCAAGGCATCGAAGGGTATGGGCACTCTGCATGCACTCAAAGGCACTGCAATGGCATTGCAAGAGAGTGTTGCGATGGGATTCAATCGGGAAGGGAGAACCCTGTACCTCTGCCACCTTAAGCTCCTTGGAGAACGAGGTGGGATATAAATGCAAACAAAGAAATATTTTGGACTACAACTCCCATCAACCACCATCAGCTGGGGCTGATGGGAATTGTAGCTCAGAAACCTCCAGGATGAGGCCCAAGGTTTCATCACACCTGCTCCGCCAAGGCACAGAACAGAAGAATCTGGCGGACACTGGTGGGGGTTCTAGCTAAGGGTCCATCTAACCCACCGGTATTGTCTGCTGTGCTGGCAGCAGCTCTCCGGCCAAGGGTCCTTTTAAGGGGGGGGGTGTGCCAGGGATTGAACCTGGAGCCTTTGGCATGCAAAGTGGGGGCACTTCACCACCGAGCAGATCTCTCCCCCCCCTATGGCGCCTGCTATCAGAGGGGTTCCAGCCAGCCAGGTTCTGCACAATGGGCGTGCTCAAGGGACTCCAGTGAGTCGGGACCGTGGCTGAGACACTCGGTACTGCTCAGGATAGGAGGCTATTTCCTTGCAATGGTAGAAAAAGCTGAGCACCTGCTGGAATAAATGTCCGGACTGCTGGGATTTAAACAAAAAACAAATCTTAATATTATATTTATTCCTTTCCCTGGGATCTTTGGAAAGGGAAGTGTCCGCTAGGGTTAGAACTTTTTTACAACCTCATGTTCCTGTAGCTTAGTTAGTACATATGTCAGGAGTGCTCTGATATGTCAGGAGTGCTCTGATGGTGTTTCCTGCTTGGCAGGGGGTTGGACTCGATGGCCCTTGTGGTCTCTTCCAACTCTATGATTCTATGATTCTATGAGTCTATGAACTTTTGCCTAAAAACAAAGGAATGAACTGTCATTTCCAAACCTTTTGAAAAAAGGTCACCCTGAAATCAATACATCAATTTTTGTATATGTAACTGTATAATGTATTATGCATAGCATGTATACAGGAAAAATAGAGCTTGCAAATTTTCTAATACATGTACAATGTTTTATACATGGTTCATCACTTCTATTGCTGAGAATAAATTGAGGATCTTGTGCGACATTGTAATGATTATGATTATGATTATATTTATACTCTGCCCATCCAGCTGGGTTTCTCCAACCACAATTGCATATTGCCACAGAAAGAAATATTAAAAATTAAGAAGTTTAGTTGTTTGCCCAAAAATCTTTCCCTATAGACCAATATTTGGATTCTTCTTGAACATTCGCCACAGTTTTAGGAAGTTCCAGGCAGCTGTAAAAGTTATAAACAGTTCCATGAAGTTTTTAAAAGTGCTGATAGTTATGAGTAGTAACTTTACATATACAGCGTTTCCAACTTTTCATTTCAGGGCAACCTTTTTCCATAACTGAGAATAATTAGTCCCTTTTTCAGTGTTTTTAAGCAAAAGTGCATCCCATTATGATACAGGAAATTGGTATACCCCTAGTGCCCAAACAAACACACAGACACGCCTTCTTGGCACTGCCTGCTTTCATCCACATGCCGTGGGATATGTGTAGAGGGTGCTTCTGAGCATGTACAAAGTATCTCCCGCACACATACACGAAAACCCTATCTCCACTGGCTTATCACACAGCTGACCCATAAGCATGTCTGAGTCTGTATGTGCAACTGGAGATGGTGAAGGGACAATCACCCTTGACAAAGTTTGAAAATTACAATGGGTAGAGCAGGGAAAGGATTAGATTTTAATTATACTCTATATTGCTTAATGTAGGTTATCAATGGATCTATGGAACCCCTCAAAAAGATATGGGAACTATATATTTGCACACAAATATGGGGATATTTTTTGGGAAGGACGGGAATAAAATTTGGGAATCACAGTTCTTAAAATCTGCTTCCAGATTTCTTTGGGAAAACTCCTTGAAATTATTTCACAGATGGTATTGCACTCCTTTCCAAATGTCAAAAGTATTTCCTTCTTTATCAGCTACTAGTTGGAGGGACTGCAATAAACTTCGTACATATTATCATTTACTGTAATTTGGTGCAAGATTTTTGGAATTTATTCTTGACATGAATGATAAATATTGCTAAAGAAACTATTGTTCGTTGCCCAAAATTACTGTTACTGAATATTTTTGATGATACAAATGTAAATATATTGTCAAAAGAATTGGTCTTATATATGACCTTGGCAGCATGAATAAGACAGTTTGAGCATATAATGCCAACTGTGGCTCAACTGGCTGCCACTTAGTTTTCAGGCCCAATTCAGTGCTGGTTTTGACCTATAAAGCCTTAAGTGGCTCAGGAGCACCACTCCTCAAGGACCGCTTCTATCCATAAGCTCTGAGGCCCTTTTCATGTGGCCCCTCCACGAGAGATCCAGAGGGCGGCAAGATGAGAAGCGGCCTTTCCTGTGGTGGCTCCCCACTTGTGGGATACTCTCCCCATGGGGGGCTAGCCTGGTGCCATCTCTACATATCTTTAAGTGCCAGGCAAAAACATTCCTCTTCAGCCAGGCCTTTGGCTAATTTTATTATGTTTTTAGATATGCCTTAAGCCACCCAAAGTGGCTGGGGAAACCAAACCAGATGGGTGGGGTATAATTATCATCATCATCTGTGGCCTTTTAAACTGTGGGGGGACATTGTTTTTTAATTGTTACTAAGGGATGTATTTTTTGTGATTTTATATTGTACACTGCCCTGTGATCCTCGGATGAAGGGCAGTCTAGAAATGTAATTAATTAATTAATTAATTAATATAAATAATAATAATTGCAACTCAGTGGAACACAGCCCAAAATCTTACACTGGACACTTTGTACCACACACTCTGGAATACAGCTTTAATGGAGAGAAGCACACATATCTGAGATTTTGAAGACAAGTAGAACCTCCGGACACTTTATATGATTTGGCATTCCTTTATGACATAGGCAACAGAACCATCATTTTCAAGACAACCCTCATCGCAAGCCTGGCAACTATGGAACTAGCCTTAATGATCTGATAAAATTGGTAGTCTTTACTTGGGCTTTGTTGGGAGGAAGCCAAAGGGTCGTCTAGCCCTACCCCCGCAGTGCAGGAATCACAACTACGGAACCCCTGACAGGTGGCTCTCCAACCTCTGCTTCAAAGCCTCCGAGGAAGGAGAGACCATCACCTCCCGCGGGAGACCCTTCCACTGTCGAACAGCTTTGGCTGTCAGAAATTTCTTCCTGATGCTGAGTCTGAATGAATCTCCTTTCTTGTCGCTTGAAACCATGGGTTCGGGTCCTACCCTCCGGAGCAGGAGAAAACAAGCATGGACCATTTTCCATGCGACAGCCCTTTATGTATTTGAAGATGGCTCTCATATGATCTCTCTGTGTGTTTATTTTTATCTTGTTTTTATTATTTGAAACCCCAATTGGTTCCCGGAGACACGTGTCCTTCCAGACCTAGACTACTATGCTGTGGAGCAGCCTCCTGCGGGACCAGTGCCCAGCCTCGCCTCCTCCTTTCCACCCCATGGAGGAATTTGCTTTCACTTTATGTCGTTCAAAGCCGCCGCCCCATCCTGCTCTCCAGGCTGCCACGCCACTGCAAGCTACAGGCAGCCCTCAGCTCTCCAAGGCAGGAAGGTCCCCACGAACAAGACAGCAACCCGCAGCGGCAGCGGAAACAGAGCTGGAAAGTCGGGTTTTAAACTGGGAGTACCAGCATATAGTGTGCATTGAATCGGTACTGCGGCTTTTAATTGCTAGACTCTAAATGGGAAATATACCAATCTTCAGCTCACTCAGTGGAAACAGAGCTGGAAAGTCGGGTTTTAAAAGCAATATAAAAATAAATGCGGGTTTTTTTTCAGGAATTCTCCAGCAAAGCGCACCGAGCATCAGGAATTGGGCCTGGGCAATGAGACGTGGGGAGGGACTCCTGTCAGATTTAATTACCGCCCTATTGCTAGCCCTTTCTCAAAGAGTCAGCATTATGACGCAGGTGGGGCGGCGGGCACGAAACGCTCTTTGGACATAAGAGCGTCAGAAGAGGCTGCACAGGCATTTTGCCTCAAGAACATAAGAGGAGCCCAAGTGGGGAGGGGGCATCCAGCCCCGCATCCTGTTCTCACAGTGGCCACCCAGATACCCCCATGGGAAACATGCAAGCAGGATCTGAGCACGTCTGAAAGCATTGCTGCCATTGATAGCCTTATCATCCTGCATGAATTCGTCCAATCCTCTTTTAAAGCCTTCCAGGTTGGTTACCATCACTGGCTCCTGAGGAACCACAAGAATACTGTCATCATTATCCGACTTTCCCAATGATAACAGCCTTAGGGGGGGGGGGCCTCCACTCAAATGGAACACTGAATTAATAGTAATAAGGATATTGTGGCTTGCAACTAAGCTTGACAGCATAGACAGAAAAAGCACTCAGCTCCTTTACATTTTACATGGTCTCACTTCCAAGAGTCCTTGCAGGGTAAGGTCCCTGCCCTTCTTCTAGAGACCCACACGGGACACATGGAAACCCAGCAGAAGGAGAAGGGGGGGATTACTAGGGGACGGGGTGGGTAGAGGGGAAAGAGGCTAAAGATATAAAGGAAGCAGATCTAGAACATCTCAAAAAGTCTCTTTTAAACCACCTGGCACTGTTGTTTGGGTGGACGCTGTGTGTGGAGGCGCGCTCTTTTCAAAAACGCATGTCCTGGCCAGGGAAGGTTTTGCATTCTAGGCAAGAAATGCATGTATACCTATATATTTTGCTTCCCCGCCCCCTCAGAGGTAGAAAAGCAACGGGGGTTAAGAGGGGGAAGGAGGAAGAAAATGGCTGGTAGGAGTCAAGTCACCAGTCCTTCCACCCACTCCCGCCCACGTCAAGTCTCACGTCCCCACATCTTGTTTGGGCTGGAGCAGAAGCCCTCCTGGCCGCGGTTAGCTCAGAGGCAGCAGCATCCAGGACATAGGCTGGATGTCAGGATCCCTCCCCCACCCACTTGGCAGAAGGCACTTTCCCGTCAGCACCTACCTTCTGTGTTGCAAAGACTCACCCCCTCCCGCCCGCCCAAGACTATGCCAACTGGAGTCACCTTCGAGTTTCATGCCCACCACAAGGCACTTCTGGAACCGGCAATAGGGACAGCTCTTGCGTTGTGTCTTGTCGATCTTGCAATTCTGGCTCTCCATACACGTGTAGTGCTTGTTATTCTGCACCGTTCTCTTGAAGAAGCCCTGAGGATAAGAAGAAGAAGAAGAAGAAGAAGAAGAAGAAGAAGAAGAAGAAGAAGAGTTTGGATTTGATATCCCGCTTTATCACAATCTCCTTTTCCCATCCTCCCCCACAACAAACACTCTGTGAGGTGAGTGGGGCTGAGATACTTCAGAGAAGTGTGACTAGCCCAAGGTCACCCAGCAGCTGCATGTGGAGGAGCGGAGACGCGAACCCGGTTTCCCAGATTACGAATCTACCGCTCTTAACCACTACACCACACTGGCTCTCTCCCAACCAAGGCCAAATGATGTCTGTCTCCCAACCAAGGGGCAGAACTGCCCCTTTCGCAAAGAGATGGGCAATTGCCAGCCCTTGGCCTGATTTCATGCAACCGTTGGCTTAATTCATCCAGGGGGAAACTTAAGAGGTCGGGGGCCAGCGCTGTCCAGAGACACTTCCGGGTCACGTGGCCAGCGTGACGAAGCTGCTCTGGCAAGCCAGCACCAGCGCAGCACACGGAAACGCCGTTTACCTTCCCGCTATAAAGCGGTACCTATTTATCTACTTGCCCTTAGTAGTGCTTTCGAACTGCTAGGTGGGCAGGAGCTGGGACCGAAAGACGGGAGCTCACCCCGCCGCGGGGATTCGAACCGCCGACCATGCGATCGGCAAGCCCTAGGCACTGAGGTTTTACCCACAGCGCCACCTTATATTGTGATTATTTTAAATAAAGCACATTTCCGCAAGTCATTTTGTCTTGTGAACTTCTGCACGCCGCCGATGACGTCACAACCCCAGGCAATTAAATAAAAGATCTTCTACTCAGAACAGGGTGGGCGGCTCAGCTCCAGGGATGAATCCCTAGAAGAGGTGGCCTCACCCTGGGGAAAGGGAGCCTCAAGAGCGCGCCTCTTCTCAGAATGCAAGATGGGCACGGTTCCTCAGTTGGCTCCACTGCCCAGGCCCCCTCGCTTCAGCCCCGGCACCTGTCTGCAGATACCCCATGCCCTGTCATATTCTGCCTCCTGGAATCTAACCTTCAGCCAGGATGTTAAACTGCAAGAACCATGGGGGGGGGGCAGTGCCGGCTTACCACACAATTGTTAATTCTGAATTTCAGATTGTTGTAAGCCGCCCTGGGACCTACTGGTGAAGAGTGAGCAATACATTTAATAATTCTAATTATAATTCTGAAGTGTAAGTGAAGGAATACACTTTTTCCAGCGAGAGACTGAGACAGGGTGGCAGATGTTTCTTAAGACTAGAGTTTCTCACAGGACCTAACTGGCAACCCACCCACCCCCGCAAGGCGCTTAGGGCATTATCAGTCCCCCAGGGAAAGCGCATCTCCCTTTCGCTGGTGATGAGGGTGGGGGTGGCCGGGCCTTCAAGCTGGAGCTGCCAATTCCCCCCCACACACACACACACATGATGGGGGGCACCTCCGGAAGTTTGAAGAGACTCCATGGACCTTGCCCTTCCTTTGTGGGAGCCTCACAACAAATGTGACAGACATACTCCCTCCCCCACCTTCCTTGATCCTACCATTAAGGTGGGAATCTCAAAAGCACCGTCTCAAAACAAGCAAGCAAGCAAAACACCTTTAGAAACAGCAAGGGAGGACGGGGGAACTGGAAAGAATCTAAACCGAACTGAACGAAGAAAAACAGAATAATGTCTTCCCTCACCCGGCAAATAAATAAATCCACAAAGCAGAAAAATGACCAAGAACAGACATTTTTATTTTTTTATTATTATTATTAATAATAATAATACCCCGCCCATCTGGCTGAGTTTCCCCAGCCACTCTGGGCGGCTCCCAATGGAGTGTTAAAAACAATACAGCATTAAATATTAAAAACTTCCCTAAACAGGGCTGCCTTCAGATGTCTTTTAAAAATAAGATAGCTGCTTATTTCCTTGACATCTGATGGGAGGGCGTTCCACAGGGCGCGCGCCACTACCGAGAAGGCCCTCTGCCTGGTTCCCTGTAACCTCACTTTAAAGGGATGCCCTTGCTGGGTGTCATCATTTGGGGGGTGGTGGAGGGCAATATTCGCCTCGCCCCCCCAATTTCTCCCTAACCCTTCTCGCACCCACCGCTTGCAAAGCGGCCCTTCCCAGCAGGGGCCCCCGCCGAGCACCGTCCTCTGGCGGCCTCCGGAGACCCTGTTGGGCGCAAACCCGTTCCTGGAGAGAAGGACGGAGCGGGCCGGCCGGGTCGGGTCCTGAGCACCACTAGGCCTTTTGCACAGAAGGGCCGAGTGCAGCGCTCCGGGGCCCCATTTGGTTCACCCCCTCGACTCCAGGGAAAGAGGCGCGCAGGGTCCTCGGGCGTTTTTCGCGCAGCCATATATTTTCCCGCGCCTAAAAATATACAAGGCACTTTCTTGGAAAATAATTGCCATCACATCCACACCCCGACGTGCACATGCTGCTCACCGGAAAGCGTCCCCAGATCCCCAACCGCCAAACGCTCCCCTAGGTTCAGTTTTTTAATAATATTAACTGCTAAGACTTGCGGTTCCCCCAAAGACGAATCTCCTTCATTGAATCACCTTTTGAGAACTCCAGACCGGGATGCATTTTCCCGGACACATTTCCCGATCGAGTCGCCCGCAAACCAGTCGATTTCGTTTATTCCGGAAGCATTTTATTCATTCTCAGATAAGATTTCCAAAGAATTCCTACCGCGCATTTTTCGAAAAGAGTTTTAGGGACGAAAGGCCGCGCAGAAGCTTTGCCCCCGGCCCCCACCCCCTCCCGGAACAGACTTAGGGAACCTATCGCTCCTGAATGGGAGTGACATCAAATCGGCGTTACATGCGATTTTGGGCGCCGGATCACGGACTCCTTAAAACTCGCCATCCGTAAAATCGGGGTTCGAAGAGAAGTGATAAACATTCGCAGTCCTCCTGTGGCCTCTAAAATATCACAAATGATCGAAAACAAAAACCCCAAAGGAACTGAGGCCGTATTGTGGGTTCTACAGGGCGAGCGTTGTGGGGCTGCGCTACAGAGATGGGCCCGAGAAAATTAAGATGAGTGACGGCTTCTACAGGTCGAAATATGTACCGGGATTTTCAACAGAATATGGGAAAGGTTCTGGGGTTAATGAAATACTGTTCTGAAACGCTGGGTAATCCAGAGTTCGATGTGGATGGCTTGGTGCTTAAGAAAAATATATTTAACAATAATTTTGGAGCTATTTTAATCAATATAATGATTTGCATTTATGTTGCTAATATTAGTAGCATGGCTTAATTTTAATGATTATTTTTAATAATACTGAAGCAGTTATCACTATTTCATATAACCATGAAGCAGTGATAGCGATAATAATTCAAATTTTGTTTGCATCCTAATTATTTCCTTTTCAATCCTGTACTCACCGTTTTGCCCTGCAAATATTTGTAAACCCCATCCCTAGCCGAGAGATGAACCTCTTTTAAATACGCACGTCCAGCGTCATGTATTAAAATACGCCACCATAATTTTCTGCACTGACGGTTTTGCTCTGGGGTGTTTTAGGGCGCTGCAGTTAAGAAGCCCAGGGCGATAGCCAATTTTCAATGCGGCATTTATTATGATAATCCCATCCGGGGGTCATTATTCAGTCGGCGGGTGGAGCGGAGTTCATTGGGGAAGGGGAGCCTGCATTTTTTTAAAGAAGGGCATCCGACCCCACAAGCCCACGCTGCTGCCCTGAAACATTTTTGGGGGTCCAAATTTGGGGATCCCTGATCTCAAACCTCTTCCCTCTCTCCTTCCTAAGAAGAAGACCACTAAGCCCCTTTCTCGACTGCGGAAGGCAGTCCCGAGCGGGTCGCTGTCCCTCGACGGCCGGCCCTTACCTTGCAACTCTCGCAGGTGAGCAGTCCGTAATGGTAACCGGATACCTTGTCCTCGCAGACTGGGCAAAGCTCGTCCAGATCATCGTCGTAGGAGCAATCCATCATCTCCTCTGAAAGTAGGAGAGCCGGGCAGCGTCTGAGCCTTAATCGGCGGTGATGGTGGCGGCGGGTCCGGGACCTAAGGGCGGACTGGCAGCGGCACCGACCGACCGACCGATGGGCAGGGGAGGGCAGCCGCCTTTATAACTGGGCGGGGAGGCTGCGCTAGCCCAGTCTCTTCCACCGCCTCTTGAGGTGGGGGGGTGGGGGTGGGCGGGAGTAAGAAGCGCCCAGCCGAGGAAGGAGGGCGCTGGGGAGTGGAGAGTTAGGGCTCCATTATACCCATGGGGTGGGGCGTCGGGAGTCAGAACCCCCACCCACCCGATGGGGGCAGTGCTTCCCCCCCCCCCCGCGGCCATTTGAGCAGATCTCCGCTTGCCCCACCTCCTGGCGCAGCCCGAAGACGAAACGTCCCATCCTCATCAGCCCAGCTGGAGACTGGCTTCCATGCACTTGAGGCCCCGACGGGGCGCACTGGCTACTCAGGAGCAACAGTGGAGGCGAAAGGGCTACATTGGCTCCCAGTACCTTTCCAAGCACAATTCAAAGTGCTGGTGCTGACCCTTAAAGCCCTAAACGGCCTCCGTCCAGTATATCTGAAGGAGTGTCTCAACCCCCATCGTTCTGCCTGGACACTGAGGTCCAGCGTCGAGGGTCTTCTGTTGGTTCCTCCCTGAGCTTCCCACCCCCCCCACCCCCACTCCAGATTGGAGCGACCGAAACTCTGTGCTCCTCGGGAAAACATGGGGCGGGGGCATGGGGGGGTATTCAGCGGCCTTCTCCTCTTGGGGGGGAAAGTCTCCCTCCGGGTTTGTTTTCTCTCACCCTGGATGGTTGGGTGGGTGCACGCGTGTGTGACGTCGACCGGGCCTCCCCAGTGGCGCGCTTCGCTCCTCACGGTCAGCCCGGGGAACTGGCCAGCAGCCCAAAGCGCGCAGACTGAGGCGCCGCGGAGATTCAGCCGGGCCGGTTCGCCTCGGCCAGGAGACTTCCTGGATTTCAGGGGAGTCCGGGACCGAGCAAAAGCGTGGGGGAGGGAGGAGGGAAAATTACCCCCCCTTCCAAAATGTGTTTCGGATTGTTTTCAGGAAAAACCAAACAAGACTCGGAAGCATCTTTCTTTGCCTGTGTCGAAAGAGAACACGCGTCAGCCGGAGAACTTCATGCCGCTACCGCCGGTGAAAAGAAAACGGGGGTGGCGGTTTTTATTTGTTTTCCCCGCGCCCAGCCTCATGTGCCGTTTTTATTTTCTTCCACCCACTCAGCAAATCACGCTCCAAATTATTAGAGATTTGGGTAATTCGGAAGGCGGGGAGAAATATCAATCTTACTGTTATACCATAACATTATATACTTTAAATATAATATATTACAATTCATAGCATGTTAATATAAATTAGAATGTATGATAATTATGTAATAATATATTGAGGGCAGAAGACATAAATATTAGAGTTGTTATACAATATTGTGTTATATAATTTATAGCACACTCTTTAAGATATAGTAATGTTAATACGATAAAATATTATAAAATATTTATATTATTATTAATTCAGGGGGTACATTAATATTATTTTTGTTATACTATGATTGTACACTATACATTTTATATAATATTAAAATTTATACTTTGTAACATATTATAAACGGTAATTATGATAAAATATTGTAATGTATTAATTTTTTATTGTGTAATAATAATATTGTAAGCCACCAGCGCGTTATGCTCTCGGGCAGCAGCCGCAGCACACACGTATCGCTAATAGATACATTAAACATGATCATCATAACATAAAGAAGCGTCGGAAGACGGAGGAACGCGCCAAACCAATGTCCCATAGCAAGCCTGAAAAAGGATTTCGAACCACCTTCAAACGAAGGGATGAGCAATTTAAAAGAACGTGCTCCTAGTATTTTGTCTTTTAAACGCGGTGATGGGGAAATCCACATGACAAAAGAGAGTGGCCAACGCAGCCCCTCTTTCTGCAGCGGTTCTCCCTTTCGCACAAGAGTATTTCCCCCAACCAGGTCTCCTCTGGGTGCTGCTGATGCGCTACAGGGCGCAGAGGCGAAGGACCGACATGGTTCAGTGGCAGAGCATCCGCCTCGCGCTCAGGACGTCCTCGAGTGTATCCCGCTCAGCATCTCCAAGCAGGGCTGAGAGAGACTCTCCTTGCCTGAAATCCTTGGAGAGCCTCTGAGGCCCTGAGCAAGGCGGACCCAGGGGTTTGGTTCGGGTTCTGCAGGCCTTCAGCATCCCCGGAAACATCTACCAACAGACAGAAGCGCTCCAGCCTGGCTTCGCTCTTCCCCTGCGCTCTTCCTCAACGTGCGCGCCACTCTCCGGCAGGGCCAGCGAGCGCGATGTTGCTGCGCGTCCATTCTTACCTTGCCAAAACTGCCCTTTTTCATGCATGTACCAAGTGGTCCCGTGATGATGATGAATGGATTGCAGCAAATCTCGACGAATGCTTCAATAGACTACGGGATTATTTCGTGGGTTGTCTCAGAGAGGCTGAGCTGAAACACTTTTTTATACACGAGTTCAACTTGCTTCAGACAGTTGAAAAGGCAAAATGTAATGCACTTGCAAAAGGAATCGAAAGCGAACAAAGCAGTAGGTTTCCTCGCATTGACCGTGCTTCCTCGGGCTGATGGGAGTCAGAGTCCCACCAGGCCGAAAGGGCCAAGAGATCCTTGCCAGAGGCCGGGAAGGACCCCCCTGAAGGCGCTCGGTGCAGCCTCCCCCCGCCCCCGCCCCCACGCACACAGGGCTGGGGCTCTCATCAGGACATCTAGAAAGCCGCCTAGGGCGCAGACGTCAGGGGGGGCCCGTAGAGAACTCTGAGAGGCGCAGTTTTATTCAGATTAGTTTTTGTTGTATCTTATACATTCCTAGTCATAGTTTACTTTTATTTTATACTTTGAAGAAGGCAATCAGTTTTCAAGTAGTACATACATTGGAATTCTTTTTATGTATAAATGAAATAGATAGACCGTGGAGTTGCTTGGTAGTTATGTAACACACACACACACATACACACACACACACACACGAAGTGAAAATACACTTCATTTTAAATTTTACAGCTACAGCTTAATCTTCTATAGAAAATGTATTCATCTTTTTAGTGAGTTACAGCTGATAGAAAACAACCAGATGGACCTCAGCACCACAACCAAAAGGCAGAAAAAGCTAAAGACCAAGCAAAGCAAGAGTTCTTCCTGAAATACCTTTGTACACAATTGAAAAACAAAAACGGGCCCTGAGGGAGCTGAATGCAGTGCTCCTCCTACAAATGATTATAACCCATGGGTAGGCAAACTAAGGCCCAGGGGCCGGATCCGGCCCAATCACCTTCTAAATCCAGCCCGTGGACAGTATGGGAACCAGCGTGTTTTTACATGAGTTGAATGTGTGCTTTTATTTAAAGTGCATCTCTGGGTTATTTGTGGGGCACAGGCATTCATTCATCCCCCCAAAAAAAAATATAGTCCGGCCCCCCATAAGGTCTGGGGGACAGTGGACCGGCCCCTGCTGAAAAAGTTTGCTGACCCCTGAATAACCTCTACGGCAGGAGAAAAATCAGAGGAAAGAGAGGAAATGGTGTCACAGAAGGCCATCCCCCAAGGCTTAGGCAAGTTGGAAGAAGGTGAACCTTTGGTGTGCCCCACAAATTGTGTGCCCCACCATACTTAACTCTGGTAAAATTGGCTAAAATTTACAAATTAAAATCAAATACCTGTTGGAGATGCAAAAAAGAAATAGGAACAATGTTTCACATGTGGTGGGAATGCCGACCTATTAAACAATTCTGGAATGAAATTTATGAAGAACTCAAAAAGATGTTTAAAATATCTTTCAGTAAAAAACCGGAGGCATTCCTTTTAGGTTTAATCACAAACGATATTCCTGACAATCAAAGGAAAGTATTCCTTTATGCAACAACAGCTGCCAGGATGCTTATAGCAAAAAACTGGAAAGGGAGAAAAATTCCATCAGTGAAAGAATGGCAAATTAAATTTTGTGAATACATAAATCTGGCAAGACTCACAGCATTCATAAGGGGACAATCGGACCAGAAATTATTAAAAGAATGGGGATGTGCTAAAGAGTATATAAAAAAAATTGTTCTGGAGTAAGTATATCGGTATGTAATGAATGATGCTTTACAGGGTTAAAGAAAAAGAAAAATGGTGTAAAAAAAGTACAAAGATGGAAGTAATCTAATTAGACACAACAATACAGTAAGAGTAAATTTTTTGAGGTCTTAGAACAAAGGAAGGAAGTCAATATGTGTATATGTATGTAATGACTAGATTATAATGACGATATGGTTTTTTCTGTAGATGTGTGCCTTTTTGTTTTTGTTTTGTTTTGTTTCCTCTGCTTTTTTTCTTTTTCTTTTTTTTTTGTATGTTCCTTTTTTTTGTTTGTATAGTATTATTTTGGATTCAATGTTTGTAATTTTTGTTATGATTCTGCATTGAAAATAAAAAATTAAAAAAAATTGTGTGCCCCACCCTCACCCCAAGTGCCTCCTCAGTGTCCAGGTTGCTGCACCGGAAAACCAACCCCCTTTCCCACTGCCTGCCCTGGTTGGTGATTGGCCCATTTTAGGGAATGCTGCACCCTTCCACTTTAACAAATTGTTAAACTGTGGAACTCTCTCCCACAGGAGACACTAACTTGGAATTGTTTTAAATGAGGATCAGACAAATTAATCGAAGAGGAGAGGGCTATCAATAGCTACCAATCCTGATGGCTGTGCTCTGCTTTCATAGTTTGAAGTTGTTATGCTTCCAAATGCCAGTTGCTGGAAACAACAGGAGCGGAGAGGGCTCTTGTGCTTGAGTCCTGCTTCCTGGTTTCTTAGAGGTAACTGTTTATCCACTGTGAGAAATGGATGTTGGAATAGATGGGCCTGTTGGTGAGGACCAGGTCCAAGATGGGTGATCCCCTTGTTGCTTCTTCCACCTTCTGGGAAATGAAATTGTCAGCA